ACGTCGATTGGGATCCATTACCATTCGATCAAGGACTTGGGTGAGTTCTCTATTCACCCATTCAAAGTCCTTTTCCTTGAGACCTACGGGATCATGCCCGGGCAGCTGGCCCCTAATGGTCACCGTTTGTTAGGCAGCTTTATCAACGTCTGCCGGTTTCTTCGTATTCCTCTTTCTCTTCGCCTCTTTGATTATATGTTCGATGTTCGGCCCGGGTCCAAGGAAACCCTTGGATTCGTGGTGGTGTCTTCCCACCAAGGTCGAGCATTCCTTTGTGGTCTTCCACCCTCCAACAAGAAGTGGAAAGACAAATATGTCTGCGTCAAATTCCCCCCGGGTGCCTTTCCTTTTGCCCAAAACGTCTGGGGGAAAAGAATGAAGCGCCAGGTCAAACCAGCGGAGGCCGATGACCTGGTTGCTTGGGAAGCCACTCTCCGGGCCGGGGATGCCTCCACCCGCGGTCTGTACCATGTTGGGAAGTGGAGCGTCTACCCCGGTCGGGAGACCGACCCCGAACCGGAGATTGTTCTGCCCGGGGTGATCCCCGAAGCCATCCCCATCCGTCAGGCGAGGGGATCCAAAGCCCCGGCCACTACCAATGCCGGTCCTTCATGCCCGGCGAAGAAGAAGAAGGAGGAAGGTCAATCAACCGCCCTTCTCATTTTTCATTTGAATGAATTTGTTCTCAACTGCATTCTTCTAACCGGTTCCCCTTTTTTTTTGTTTCAGTGGTGAAGTTTCAATCCAAGTTTGCCGTCCCCCAAATCGTGGTTGAGGAGCCCTCCTCCGCTCAGCCACTCACTCCTCCATCCAGCCAACCACTCTTGATGGATGATCTGCCGGCCCAGTCTCACCAAGGGACCAACCAGCCGATTCACTCGGGGGAGATCTACTTCAACGTAGACACCTTCGAGTTTGACAATCTGATGGGTGAGACTGGGCATACGTCCCAGGCGGGGGTGGGAGACCGGCCCAATGAGGAAAGGGACGCCAAGGAGGAGACTTCTGGGGGGTCCCTTCAACGGAAGAAGCGGAAGAGTGAAGAAATCAACCAGCCTTCCCATCAGGGGGCCCAGTCCTCCGACGCCGGCAAGGGGCCGATAGTGCCTCGTTCTCTGGCTTTAATGTCCAGGTCAAACGAGGAGCTCTTCCGAGCATTCCGTGCTGATCTGAATGAGGTAACCCCTTTTCCTCTCCCACCGCCTACTTACCGTTTTTATACTTTTCTGAGTAATTTTCGATGTCTTTGAAGCAGGTCGGCCGGATCGGGGAGGAGTACTTCGCCCGGCTGGTGAAGTCGATGGATGAGGAGAAGGCCCGGATGGAGGCCATGATGGTCGAATGCCGGAAGGAAGCCCAGGCTGCCCGGGCCAAGGCAGAGAAGATAGAGGCCAAATGGACAGAGCACTGTGNGTGATAATGTTTTTCCAAACAAATTTCTCACACTGCCGCACGGTTATGGTAGCCATTGCCTCGGCCTCGACCCATTTAGTGAAGTAATCAATAGCCACCATCACGAACTTCTTCCCGCCTTGGGCGACCGGGAAGGCTCCAATAATGTCAATCCCAAACCGGGCAAATGGTATGACATTAGACGTTGGTTGGTAGTATGTGGCCGGTCTGCCGGGATGTTTGTAAAATACTTGGCACGTCCTACATCTCTGGACATACCGCTCACAATCCCCCACAATGGTCGGCCAGTAGTAGCCAAGCAATATTATCCTTTGGGCCAGGGTGCGAGACATTTGATGGGCCGCACAAACTCCCTCATGCACCTCAGCTATTACCCGTTCAGCCTCTGGGTTGGTAAGGCAACGTAAGAGAGGTCCACCGATGGCACGTTTGTACAAGTGACCATCGATTACCTGAAAACGGGGAGCCCGCAGGATCACCTTTCTGGCCGGTTCCTCGTCATCCGGTTTCTGACCGGTCTTCAAATATTGCATGAGATCGTGCCTCCAGTCATCATCTGCTCCGATTGTCCTGGTAGCCGAATTCTGGCCCGGTTGGATAGCCGCGATTTCAAACCGGTCTGTACTCGGCACGTCCATGATCTCAATTTTCGCCAACTTCGACACATGCTCTAGGCAGGCTTGTGTCAATTTTGAAAGCATATCTGCATCAGCGTTTTCCGACCGGGGTATCCTAGTTAGACGAAACTCTTCTAATTCCCTTAGAAGCGCTCGGACCAGATCACTATACCGGGCCAGCCGATCCTCTTTTACTTCCATCTCACCATTGACCTGCCCAACCACTAGACTCGAATCGGAACGGATCTTCATCCTTTTTATTCCGAGTGTCCGGGCTAATCTAAGGCCACCGGCCAACGCCTCATACTCCGCCTCATTGTTGGTGAGTTTGAAGTTGAAGATCAAGGCATTGTAGATCTTGAATCCTTCCGGGGTAGTGAAGACTACACCGGCCCCGCATCCCTTCGGTCCAGAGGCTCCATCAACGGCCATGTCCCACCACGGTTCGACCGTATGGGAGGGTCCGGCTTCGGGCTCTAGACCGGTTAGTTCAACGAGGAAGTCTGCCAAAGCTTGACCCTTAATTGCAGTCCTTGGTTTATATTCTATTTTGAACTGGGTGAGCATCATCGCCCACTTGATCAACCTTCCCGAGGAGGTCGAATTTCGAAGGACCGGTCCAAGTGGCTGATCGGTCAGTACTTCCACGGTGTGAGCTTGGAAGTATGCGGTCAGTTTTTTGGCCGTGATGAAAAGCGCGTATGCCGTTTTCTCAATGGCAGTGTACCGGCTTTCAGCCCCATTTAATGCTTTGCTCACATAGTAAATAGGCCTCTGGCCGTCTTCATTTCTTATCAAAA